CAATCGTGACATTGTGCAGTCTATGGTGGATGAACGCACGGACGCCGTGGATGCCTTTATTTGGCAATCTCAGTTACGCTACTACTGGGATGAGGCGAAGGGAAATGAGATACGTATTGCCGACGCGGAATTTATTAACGGCTACGAGTATATTGGTCTCTGTGGTTGCCTTGTTATTACGAAGCTCACGGATCGCTGCTACATCACCCTTACGCAGGCCCTTCGGCTGAAAAAAGGAGGAGCCCCCGCTGGCCCGGCAGGAACCGGGAAAACGGAGACGACCAAAGATCTTGCGCGAAACATGGGTATTGCATGTTATGTGTTCAACTGTTCAGATCAAATGAACTACATCACGTTGGGACAAATTTTCAAGGGTCTTTCCATGTCTGGTTCTTGGGGTTGCTTTGACGAGTTCAATCGGATTTCCATTGAGGTGTTGTCCGTTGTCGCAACACAGGTGGGTTCCATTCTAAATGCATTGAAGGAGCAAAAACAGCGTTTCCGCTTTATGGATGAGGAAATCACTCTTATCACTTCAGTGGGTATGTGGATCACAATGAATCCTGGGTATGCTGGTCGTACGGAACTTCCTGAAAACATCAAATCACTGTTCCGGCCCTGTGCCATGGTGGTTCCGGATCTAAAAAATATTTGCGAGATTATGTTGGCCGCTGAAGGATTTGGTGACGCGAAGGACCTTGCGCTGAAGTTTGTGACACTGTATCGCCTAAACAAGGAGCTTCTTTCACCACAGGACCACTACGACTGGGGTTTGCGTGCTGTGAAGTCTGTGCTATACATTGCTGGTGCCTTGAAGCGTGGCGACCCGGAAGTTCCGGAACGTAATGTGCTTATGCGTGCGTTGCGTGACACCAACATGGCGAAGCTCAGTAAAGACGATGTGTACGTGTTTATGGGACTTATTCGCTCCCTATTTCCCAATTTGGAGGTCCCGAAGAAGGACAAACCCGACCTTGTGGCTGCCTGCAAGGAGGTTTGCCGCGAACACGGCAACCTCCCCGGTGAGAACGACATCTTCATCTTGAAGTGTGTGCAGTACGAGGAGCTGCTACACGTTCGCCACTCCGTCTTTGTGTTGGGGCCGGCGGGTTGTGGCAAAACAGAGTGCTGGAAGTGTCTGCAGGGAGCCCTCACAAAGCTCCACAAGGATGAGTGGAAGGCGAAGGCGGTTTCTTCCTGCCTAAATCCGAAGGCGATTACCTCCAACGAGTTGTACGGCTACTTTACTCCAAATAAGGAGTGGCGCGATGGCATATTGTCTTCGATCTTCCGTGACTACGCCTTGGAATCGAAGAAGAAGCGCAACATGAAGTGGATGGTGCTCGATGGCATCATTGATGCCGAGTGGATTGAGTCCATGAATACAGTGATGGATGATAATAAGATGTTGACGCTGGTGTCGAACGAGCGTATCCCACTGACAGACTCGATGCGAATGATATTTGAGGTGTCTCACTTGCGCAATGCCTCACCTGCGACTGTGTCTCGGGCGGGTGTTGTCTTCATCAACGAGAGTGACCTCGGTTGGGGTCCTTTTAAGGACAAGTGGATCGCCACTCGAGACAAACGTGAGGGGACGATATTTGATAGCCTCTTTGACAAGTATGTTCCGTTTGTGTTTGAGTTCTGGAAGCGCAGCATGCGGCCGATCGTCTCTATTATGGACATCAACGTCGTGCAGACCATTTGCTTCATCTTGGAGGGTATTTTTGCCCAAATGCCCCAAGAGGAACTTTCCAAGCACCCAAATCTCTTTGAAGTTTACGAAAAGTACTTTGCCTTTGCCGTGATTTGGGCCTTTGGTGGCCCGTTGCCGGGCTCGGACGGCCGCATTGACCTGCGGACGAACTTTTCCAATCAGTGGAAGAAGGAATTTCCGAACATGAAGATCAGCGATGTGGGGTCTGTCTTTGATTTTTACGTGGACAAGAGTAAGGATGAAAATGGCGTCCTTCAATGCGAGTGGAAGCCGTGGAGCGATCTCGTCCAACCGTATGTTCCCGACCCCGACAAGCAACTCTCCACGGTGTCCGTGCAGACGGCAGATAGTGTGCGTATGTCGCATCTAATGAGCCTGCTCGTGGACAATGCCAAGTCCGTCATGCTCGTTGGAACGGCAGGTACAGGCAAGACAAACTTGATTATGTCGAAGCTGCGTTCACTGGACATTGAACATGTCTTATTCCGTGTCATTTCCTTCAACGCCCGCACCTCTTCAAGTGGTCTTCAGGCTGTGATGGAGCAGTCGTTGGAGAAGCGCTCTGGACGAACCTACGGTCCCTTCAACCGCAAAAAGTTGGTCTTCTTCATGGATGACATGAACATGCCTGCCCCCGACAAGTACGGTACGCAGGAGGCTATTGCTCTCCTTCAACAGCACGTTAACTACGGGTTCTGGTACGACCGCGTAAAGATCATACAGAAGGAGGTGGTGGATCTCCGCTACGTTGGCGCCATGAACCCAAAGTCAGGAACATTTACCATCTTGGATCGTCTTTTGAGGCACTTTGCCGTCTTCTCCACAAACATGCCCGAAAGAACAGACTTAATTAGCATTTACGGACAAATTCTTCAAGCGCATACGCATAAGTTTCCACGGGATATTCGTGACACTATGACGACGCTTCTCACCAATGCCACTATTGAGCTGCATTACTTGGTGTCCAAGCAGTTTTTTCCAACTGCTGTTAAATTTCACTATCAATGGAACATGCGTGAAATGTTTAACATTTTCCAGGGATTGTGTAAATCGCACGTGAAAATTCATACTAAAACAGGGCAGTTTTCACGACTTTGGGTTCATGAGTGCAACCGTACATTCCGTGATCGCATGGCGGATGCGGACGACTTGGCCCGTTACGATGGATTACTTTTGGAGGTGCTTGGTCGTGCTGGATTTCCTGACTGCAATCCAAAGGAGTTGCTGCAAGAGACATCGCTTTGGGGTCCGTTCCATACCACTCCAGAGGGAGAAGAGAACGTGTATGATGAAGTCAGCCTTGACGCCGTGCAAGCCTTTCTCGTCAAAAAGTTGGACGAGTACAATGACAACTATGCTCGTATGGATCTTGTATTATTTCACCAGGCTGTTGAGCACCTTTGCCGTATTGCACGTATCACTTCTAACCCACGTGGTAATGCGCTATTAGTGGGCGTCGGAGGTTCTGGCAAGCAGTCTCTTGCGCGACTCTCATCCTTTATTAATGGTCATGACATTTTTCAGATTTTGGTGACAAGCAGCTATGGCATTGCCGAATTCCGTGCGGATATGCAAGAGCTCTATCGCAAGTGTGGTTTGAAGGGGTATCCGTTTGCCTTCATCATTACTGACACACAGATTGTGTCGCAAGACATGCTGGTTTACCTTAACGACATGCTTGCCAGTGGCAATGTCCCTGAGCTGTTTAACCAAGATGAACGGGATGGTGTTATTGGCTCCATTATGAACGAAGTCAAGGCGGCGGGTTACACAGACTACTCAAACCCTGATGTATGCTGGGAATATTTCATTAACAAGGTGCGATCCAATCTGCATATTATATTGTGTTTTTCACCTGTGAGCAAGAATTTTGCGACGTGGTGTCGGCAGTTTCCTGCACTTGCAAACACGACTGTGATTGATTGGTTTTTGCGTTGGCCGGAGCAGGCGTTACGGTCTGTCGCGCAGAGATTTTTGTCAGAAATTGAGCTGGGAGGCCCAGAGATGACGCAGAACATCGCGGATTTTATGGCCTTCTGCCAGGAGAAAGTCACGGAGACCTGTGAGGAGTATCTTCTTCAAGAGAAGCGACACGCTTACACCACCCCCAAGTCTTTCCTGGAGTTGATTGCTTTTTATAAGGAGTTGCTTTCGAGGAAGCGTGACGACCTGAATGACAGGAAGGAGCGCCTGGTGAGTGGCATTGACAAGATTAAGGAAGCTGGGGTCCAGGTGGCGGCCCTACATGAGGTTCTGCAGAGGGAAAGTGTCGAGGTTGAGGAGGCGCGGCAAAAGACCGCGGCCCTGATGGAGACGGTGGGTAGGGAAAAGGCCATTGTGGAGGAGCAGAGCGCCATTGCCGCCAAGGAGGAAGAGAAGACGAACAAAATTGTCGCCGAGGTGGGCGTCTTTGAAAGCCAGTGCGCGGAAGACTTGGCAAAGGCAAAGCCCTTGGTGGAGGAGGCTCTTGCTGCCCTTGATACGCTTGACAAAGCCTCTATTTCGGAGCTAAAGAATTTGGGCAAACCCCCAGTGGATGTGCAGATGGTTGCCATATGTGTTCGGGTACTCACCTCTAATCCCCGTGCAATTCCCTCCGTAAAGAATCGAACATGGGCGGAGTGCAAAAAGATGATGAATCAGGTGGATCGTTTCTTGGCAGAGTTAAAAGGGTTTGACGTGAACAACATCCCGCAAGTGTGCATCGATCAAATTCAAATGTACATTACAAATCCAGGCTTTGATCCCGAAAACATTAAAACCAAATCCTTTGCAGCGGCTGGCTTGTGTAAGTGGGCCATTGGTATTAACAAGTACCATTTGGTGCGTTGCGAAGTTCGTCCCAAGGAGGAGCGACTGGCGGAGGCCCAAGAACGCTTGCATCAGAGTAAATCCGCCTTAAAGAAGATTCAAGACAAGGTTGCGGATCTGAACGCCAAACTTGGAGCTCTCATCTCCCAATACAATGATGCTGTGGAGTCTGCAAACGCCATTGAGCAAAAGGCAAAAAAAACGCAGCTGAAAATGGATCTTGCGCAGCGTCTCGTGACTGGTTTGTCCGACGAAAGTGTCCGCTGGGGCAACACCATTGAACAGCTTCAGGCTGCCAGTGATCTTTTGGTGGGGGATGTTCTATTGGGGGCCTCGTTCGTGTCATATATTGGCCCCTTCTCAAAGGCTTTTCGTGAGCGCGTCGTGCGCGAGGATTGGGTGCCCAAGGTGAAGGAGCTGGGGATTCCCATGACAGAGAACCTTGATATTACCATGAACGTTCTCACGACGGAGGCGACGGTTGCGTCGTGGAACAATGAGGGTCTTCCTTCCGATACGGTGTCTACGGAAAATGGTGCCATTTTAACAAACTGTACCCGATGGCCTTTACTTATTGATCCACAGCTTCAGGGTATTAAGTGGATTCGAACGCGTGAGGAAAAGAACGGACTGAAGGTCATTCAAACCACACAAAAGACGTGGCAACGAACTCTTCAGACATGTATTGAAGAGGGACTTCCATGTGTCATTGAGTCCTTGGGTGAGTTTATTGAACCCGTCTTGGATGGTGTACTGAGTCGCCAGACCTTTAAGAAGGGAGGCCGTGTCTATATCAAATTAGGGGCAACAGAAGTGGAGTATAATCGCAAGTTCCGTTTGGTACTGCAGACAAAACTTGGCAATCCGGCGTATGGTCCCGAGGTGAATGCCCAAACGACGTTAATCAATTTTATGGTCACTGAAGCCGGTCTTGAAGACCAGTTGCTTGCCGTCGTTGTGAACCAAGAACGACCGGACCTTGAAAAGAAGCGAGGCACCTTGCTGCGGCAGATGAACACCATGACCATTGAACTGCAGAAGTGTGAAGATGGTCTTCTTTATGAGCTAACAAACGCCACAGGTGATATTTTGGAAAATGTTGCTTTGATTGAGAATCTTGAGAACACCAAGAAGAAGGCGAAGGAGATTAATATTTCTTTTGCTCAGGCCGTTGCGACGCAGAAGGACATTGCTCAAAATCGTTTGACGTACACTTCTGTGGCCGTGCGTGGGGCGTTATTGTTTTTCCAAATTGACCAGCTGTGGAAGATTGATCACATGTATCAGTACTCCTTGGAAGCCTTTATGGTGGTCTTCAATAAGGCTCTAAAGAAGGCTGTGCAGCCCGAGGACAAGAAGGACGTCAAGAAACGTGTGGAGAATGTGCTTCAGTCCATTATGGAGTCCGTCTTTGCGTACGTTTCACGTGGTTTGTTTGAGCGACACAAACTTATCTTGTCCAGCTTACTGACCTTTGCGATTCTCCAACGTCATGGGGACATTGACGTCAAGCAGCTCGACTTTCTCCTGCGTGGAAAGAAGAAATTGGGTGTACCGCGCCCCGAGACTGTTTTGGAGTGGTGCCCCGAACCAAACTGGGCAGCTGTGCAGGCGCTTGCCGACGTTGAAGGCTCGGTGCCGCCATTCAACCTTCTACCAAGCGATATGGCAGAAAATAATCGCTGGAGGCAATGGGCAGAGACTGAGAAGCCCGAGTTGGAGAAAATGCCCTCGGAATGGAAAAACTTGACACAATTTCAACGTTTACTCGTACTGCGTTGCCTCCGTCCAGACCGCCTCACAGCTGCCCTGGAGACGTTTGTGTGCGACAGCATTGGGCGCTTCTTTGTCTCTGACCAGACAGTAGACATCTCCGTGTCTATTGCGGAGTCTACCACGAAAACGCCGCTATTCTTCATTCTTTCCCCTGGTGTAGATCCTGTGCGGGCCGTTGAGGAGGCTGGTCGGAAACTGGGCTACACGTACGATAACGAGCGACTCTATAACGTGTCACTTGGTCAAGGCCAGGAAATTGTGGCTGATCGTGCCCTGGAGAAGTGCTTCTTGCAGGGCGGATGGGCGCTGCTGAACAATATTCACCTTGTCCAGAAATGGCTTCAAAGCTTGGAGCGGCGCCTGGACAACTACGCGGAAATTTACACTCGAATGGCCCAACTGAAGAAGGAGCGGGATGAGAGGCGCGCGGCCGGGAAGAAAATTTTGGAAGAGCCGGGCGCTGACGAGGTAGCGGCGGAGGAACCGTACACCGGGGAGGATTCCGGGGGCTCCATTGGGGAAGGGGGCTCGGCAGTCGGAGAGGAGCTGGATGTATCGGCGCGAGGAGGAGGCGAGGAGTACCAAAAGGAAGCCAAGGGCGGCGCTGAAAAGGAGGCGGCGCATGATGAAGACGAGGAGGATGACGATGACGATATTCCCTTCGAGGGTCCAAAGGGGCATCCAGGGTTCCGTGTCTTTTTGAGCGCTGAGCCCTCGAACGTGATCCCGATTGGTGTCCTCCAGCGCTCCATCAAGCTTACCTCTGAGCCACCAACGGGTATTCGATCCAACATTGTTCGAGCCATGACGAACTTTAGCGACGAGCCCTGGGAGAGGAGTGCAAAGCCGACGGAATTCCGTTGCATCATGTTTTCCATGTGCTTCTTTCATTCGGTGGTTGTGGAGCGCAAAAAATTTGGTCCGCTGGGGTGGAATCGGGTGTATCCCTTCAATGCGGGTGACTTGACCACATGCATGGAGGTGGCGGCAAACTACATTGAGGACCGTCCAAAGGTGCCATGGGAGGACTTACGGTACGTCTTTGGTGAAATCATGTACGGCGGACACATCACAGATGACTGGGATCGTGTATTGTGCATGGCGTACCTGCGAACCTTTGTCGTCCCTGAGTGTTGCGATAACCTTCAACTGGCACCTGGATTGGAGGTGCCTGCACCGATGAGCTACAGTGAATATATGGATTGGTTGAACAACGCGGAAGACTTCCCACAAGAGTCACCTCTCCTTTTCGGTCTTCATCCAAATGCCGAGATTAACTACCGAACAGTTCAGGCCGATGTCCTCTTCCGGACGATTAATGAGTTGCAGCCAAAGCAACACGCTGGAGGTGACATGCTAAGTGCTCAGGAAGTTGTGCAGCAAAAGATTGATGAGCTGCGTGAACGTCTCCCTGAGCCGCACAATCTTCAGGATCTGGCGGAGCGGCTTGAGGATGAGCGTACTCCGCAGCAACACGTGTTTTATCAAGAGTGTGAACGCATGAATCTTCTCATTAGTGTCCTGAAAACCACCCTTGAGGAGCTGGATCTTGGCCTTAAGGGTGCCCTCTCAATGACGGCGGCGATGCAAACCTTGTTTGATGAGATTTTCCTGGACAAGCTCCCTGCGGCCTGGGAAAAGGTTTCATTCCTTTCCCTACGTGCACTTGGTTCATGGCTGGAAAATTTTCTCGTCCGAAATGATCAACTGATAAACTGGACAGGCGAATTGCAGACACCCAAGGTGACGAACATTGCTCTCTTTTTTAACCCCATGTCGTTCCTCACAGCTATCATGCAGACGACTTCCATGATTAACAGCTTTGACCTTGACCAGATGGCACTGGTGGTTGATATCCTAAAGAAGTCGGCGGATCAGATTGAAACGAGCGCCCGAGATGGATGCTACGTTTCTGGTCTCTCCATGGAGGGGGCCCGCTGGGACACAGGGCTGGCGTGCATTGAAGAAAGTCGAATGAAGGAGCTCTACCCCAAGATGCCCATCATGACAGTGCGCTCCCTGCCGCTGGCTAAGATTGACCGCCGTGATCAGTACGAGTGTCCGGTCTACAAGACGCAGCAACGTGGACCCGGCTTTGTGGTCGGTTTCTGGCTTAGGACGAAGCAACCGGCAAAGAAATGGACAATTGCTGGTGTTGGTCTTATCCTTGATGTGGTGGAGTAGGGGGAAAGGAGCAAATTTTTTTTGCCTTTGGTTTTCTTTTTGGTGGTGGTGATGGGAGATCTTGCTTTAGCGCAGCCAAGGTTTTTATACAGATGTATGTATATATATATATGTATATAATGAAAAGAAAAAAAATTTGAATGGGATACTATTGCATTGAATGTACTTATATCAAAATGTTTATAATCTGTGAGGTTAATCGCTTTTTTTTTTAGATGTAAGTAGCTGCAATTTGACTTCGCTTTTCCACTTTCATCCCCTTGTGCTTCGAGGGGCGAAGTTGATCCACGTGAAAGGCGCGTGCTGTGGCTAGGCTTGAGAGCGGGCCTGTGTTGACGATTGGCTGCGCCTTTTTTTTTCGTCTGACTTATCTCTCCAAAGAGACTTTCTTATTCTCTTCATGCTGCGACGGCTTTTCAGGCCGAGGCACGCGGAGCTGCTGCATGCCCTTTTCTGGGACTATGCCGCAGGGCCCACAAGACGCGGAGTCGTCCAGCAGGCGGGCGTTCCGGAGCTCCGCCGTCCGGGGGCCCTAGCCGCCGCGCCAACGCCGCAGGGGCAGGCGCCGAATTTCGCCCAGCCACAGTCCGGTGCATTTCAGCAGCCCAGCGTTATGGTGTTGCTGGCAAGGGCACAATACGCCCTTTTCACGCTTGGGTGGAACCCCACCGCTGGTGACTTTGCCCTCTACTGCGCAACCACGAATGAACTTGTGTGTATGCCGAAGGAGATGCTGTGGAAGGCGGCAATGTGGATGGAGGAACGCATAGGAGAGGATTTTATTGCGGGGATTGTTTTTCCCAGTGACGGGTCCATTCCCCTAAAGGACGCGGCAGCCCTGCTTATGGAGAAGTCTCGTAGGCGACTAGTGCTGGCTCCGGATACGTGGGGTATTACCTACTTGACATTAAAGAGTCAGCAGGAGTTCGTGCGAGGTTTAAGCATCCCTGCGAGCCTGGAACATGCCGCCTTTCAACTCACAGGGACGGCATATAAACCCGCCGTTACAGACCCATCCGTGTTTGATTTTACGATAGGATCATATACTTCTTCGGATTGCGCCGCCCCTGTTTCTGCCGCACGCGACGCCCTTGTGAACTGGTGTGTCCTCTTCACCCTTCATAAGCGGTTTGGCACAAAGGGCAGCCGAAAGGTTATGGACCCCATTGACCAGATTGTACGACGCGTGGTGAAGGCCGTCAATGTGTTTGTGGTAGACATTGATGTGCGGGTTGGGAAGGGCACCATCGCGGAGGGTTTTACGATGATCGTGACAATATACGATGCCCAAAAGAGGACCCAGACGGTGCACATGATCCGCAGCTTGGCAGAAGAGGCCACGAAGCGGAATGCGCTCAATGCAATACTGTACGGTGAGGGCACCTCTTCCATTTCGCTCTTCGTCCCTACGGGACGCACGAGGTCGGCGCAGCTTCTTGCCTTTGCTCGCAGCTGTCGTCCGTCGTGTCCGTTTTTCGCTGCCGAGGTGTCAAGTTTGGCGCAGTTTTTCGCCGGCACAAAAGTTGCAGCCGGACTTGACGATGAGAAGGACCCACGCGCCACTTGGGCGAGAATTCGTGCCAACTGTTTTCCAGAGAAAACCTCCCGTAAGGAGGAGGAGGTGCTCGATAGAAAGTTGCAGCAGGGCTTCACGGCGCTTGCCAACAAGCTCTTTTCGGACCGTCTGCACCGAGTTTCCCCGGCGCTCATAGCAGCCGTGAGTAGTATCCCCCCACAGGAGGAAATTCAAAAGGCACGGAGGCGCGTCGAATTGTTGGAGGAGGAGGCACGCAAAAATCCGGTCCCACACGTGACACATTCTGCTTTTCTTAACAACGTCAACATAAGTGACGCCGAGGTTGTCTTTCGCCTGCAACAATGGCGCTCGAACATTTATGAAAACCCCGACCGGCTTCAGCGTGAGCAGCAGGCGCTAAATGGACTGAAGCGTTATTTAGTGCTCGACCTCGAGACGACCACAGTGCGGCGCTACAAGCGTGTGTCAAACCCGTTTACCAAGGAAAATTACGTTGTCCTCTCCGGGGCCCGTGACTACACCGGGAAGGTGTTTATGACGACTCGCTACTTTGTTCGGAACATTGCCTTGCGGTACGATGACATGGACGTCACAAGTGCCTGCAACCTCGTTGAGGGATCGTCAAAGCGCTCGTTATTTTTGCCGCCACTCGACGACTACGACGTGATTGTGGGACATAACATTAAGTTTGACCTGCTGCACATCTGGCGGGATGCGGAGCTGCAGCACTTTCTTCGTCGCGGTGGAAAGGTGTGGGACACAATGTACGCCGAGTATTTGCTCACTGGCCATGAGGTGAAACTCGGCCGCGGTGCCGGCTTGGAGGACGTCGCAAAGTCTTACGGCGGTCACACCCCAAAGTTAGACGCTGTGAAGGAGGCCTGGGCAAAGGGCAAGGAAACCTACCAGATTCCGTATGCATTGCTGTCCGAGTACCTACACGGCGATCTGGAGAATACGGAGCTCATTTTCCGAAAACACATGGAACGCGCCTTAACACAGAGGCAAGTTATCATCTGTGTGGCACGAATGGATGGCCTGCTTTGTACGACGGAGATGGAGTATAATGGATTGAAAACCAACGTGCAGCTCGCCGTGATGCAAAGCAATGAACTCATGGTGAAAGTGATGGAGCTGCGAAAGCACTTGGAGAGTGCTATCCCCAAGGAAATTCCTGTGGACTGTCGCAAGTACTTTAACTGGTCTTCCAACCAGCACCTTATCACATATTTTTTCGGTGGCAAATTAAAACTGAACACAAGCGCCCGCGAAAGCAGGACTCTGCCTGGAGAAGTTTTTGATCGTCATACACTGTACGTGCCGGCGGAGGAATACACGCCGGATCGCTTTCCAAAAGGGGTCTTTCTGCGTCCACCGGTGCACGTGATTGGCCCGGCGGACTGCCTTATTGCAACCGGCGGCTCTTTGGACAAGGGAACAAAGGTATTCAAGAACTACTATGAGACCTACGTGAAGCAGGCCGGGTTTCGTAAGAGCTCGACGATGACAGACTCGCTGAGCCGCGAGATGGTCGCTGTTTCAAGGACAGAGACTGACAGACGAACGGAGCCGGAGGCCCTCGCTAATTTGCTCCCCAGGCGCCACCTGTTTCTCTTCGCAGGGATCACCGCCACTGTGGAGGAGAAGATGGGCAAATTTTTTCTCAAAAACGCCGTGACGGGGGAATCTGTGACGATTCTGGCCGATCACAAGGATAAAGTTGCCCGGCTTCGTGCCTTTATAGAAGAACAGGTGAGATTGCACACCGATATGTTGCTTCCTGCGGAGGAGGAGAATGATTCCTCCTCGTCTAATATGAGCGCTTTTGCGAACGCACACGTTACTATTTTGGCCAGAGATGCACCCTTTTCCTTTACACGTCTACTGCACTCTGATCTGGAGTTGAAGGAGTATCTGACGTCGCACGACGGCCTCCGCACTGACACTGACATAAATGAACGCTACGTCATTAGTTTGGCGGACACTGTCTCCATACTTTCTTACTACCGACACCTCTACAGCGCCCAAACCGAGGCAGTCTGGCGATCCCGCGGTTCCCGAGATGAGTCGAAACTTGTGTACCCGTTACGGGCCTTTCCACGCCCCGGCTCCTCCAGGAATGCCACGGCGGAAGCATATAAGGCCCAACTGCTGCGGGAGGCCGCCATGAAACCGGAGGATTGGTGTAATTACTACACCGACGTTTTCCTTCACATTGGCAATGCTGCGTTGCAAAGTGAGGCCATGGAGCCCGAGGCGACGGCGGCGAAGAAAACGCGGAAGTCAAAAAAAATAGCAACAAGCGCACAACCGTCAATCTCCCAATCCTCCTTCGCGACCGCCATGCCTTTGTTGCCTACTATAACTCGCTCCCCGACAACGAGCGTAAGCGGCTGGCGCTGATGACGTTGATTGGTAGGACATGTGCCTCCGTCTACGATGCCTTTGCAGTACAGTGTGCCCATGATGATGTGGTGGAGGTGATGATTCGTGGACGTCTCGCGACGTATGTGCCGAGTCAACTTGACGCTGAGCAAGTGATGCGCAAGTTCCGAAGTGCAACATCGCGGCAGTTGCAGGTCGGTGAGGACTCACTGAACTATTTTAAAAAGACGCACGGGGACAAGACGGCCGAAACCATTTTAGAGCTGCGCGCTATGGAAAAGTTGATTGGTACGTACTATGAAAATACAGATGATGGGACGGGGATGGTGTCCCTTGTGCACAGCGTGGACAGCTGCATTCACCATGAGCTAATACACAACAAAACAAACACAGGACGTCTTGCGAGCGCCAATCCCAATTGCCAGAATATTCCCAAGGAAGATAAATCGCCATTGCGAGAGATGTTTGTTAGTCGTTATGGGGAAAAAGGTATGTGCATAGAGGCGGATTATTCCCAGCTGGAGGTCGTTGCCTTGGCTGTGCTTGCGAATGATTTTCAAATGCTTGAGGATCTTCGATCGAATGTGGATTTCCATTGCAAACGTGTGGCGATGATGCGGCCTGACCTGCCGTACACCGAGGTTTTACTGAGAGCGAAGAGGAACAAGGAGCCGGAGTTTGTAAAACTGCGTCAGCAGGCGAAAATCTTTTCATTTCAGCGACAGTACGGGGCTGGTGTGAAAATGATCAGTCAAAGTACCGGGCTGACACAAGATCAGGTGCGCCAACTTATTGAAAAGGAGCGGGAGACCTATTATGGCGTAGATGCGTTCAACAGCATGGTCGCGTTGTCTGCTAACAACTTTGACGCCTCTATTCAAGACGGTTCACGCAACGTACGAGGACACCAGCTCTTTAAAGGTGTCTTTCCCGTTATTACTGGGAGCCGTTACGTCTTCACCGAGTCCGATGTACCGGAGGGTATAATGCGGGACAAGGCGTTGTCCGCGAAGTCAACAAGTTTTTCCCCCACACACCTTAAAAATTACCCTGTGCAGGGTTTTGCGGGAGAAATTGTGCAGGTCATGTTGGGCGTGCTCTGGCGACACTTCTTGATGAACAACAACTACAATGGACTGGCCGTGCTCATTAACACGGTGCACGATTGTGTGTGGATTGACTGCCACGCGGATGTCTTTCTTCAAGTTGCGGATGAAGTAGAGACAATCATGAGTAACGTGCGGGAGGTTCTTAACCACCTCTACCCAGAAATGAACATCACGGTGGACTTCCCATGTGACGTGGTTGCTGGTGAGAACATGGGTGCGCTGCGCCCTATTGTCCGCGAGGAGACACTCTAATGCGGCGGGCCCGACGAGAAATTCGACAGCCTTTCTTGTTTTTTTTTTTTGGTGTGGGTTCCCCCGTTTCCACGTAATAATGAGCCATAGACGAATAGAAACAGTTCGCCCCATAGAAAGCGGCGGCCCTTTCTGAGAAGAAGGTTGGGGTCTGCCGACACAGATGAGTGAAGGAAAGTGATTTCTGTAACGAAGCAGCAACGTGAAAATAACAACAACAAAAAAAAACAAACAACAGATGTATCTCTCTCTCTCTCTCTTTCTTCTTTCTCTTTCTCTGCTTATTTCTATCTGCTGCTGCAATTCACAGTGCTCCACTGGGCGCCTTTTCTCCCCTTCCTTTGCACCCCGTGCCTCTCTGCAAGTGAAGCTGCTGGGGAAAGTTGCATTGTTTTATTCTTGACCCTTTGCGGTTTAGTTTCATCTCTGCTTTCTACAGTCCACAAGGGGGTGGGGGGGCTTCATGCGGAGGGAGAATGAAGACGGATGCCAAGTCTGGGGCACTTGCAAGGAGACTGAGGCGGTGTCAACGCCACTGACCCCCGGGCGCCTTCCCCCTTCGGCGCATCTCATTTCCGCTGCGCGTGTCGACACCACCAGAGAACGTCTTGCACTTCTGCACGCCATTGTTCAACGCTCCTTGCAGCATGCGGAGATTCCTAGCCGCTCGGCAAATAAAGTGCGTCCGACTTCCTCTACGCCTGACCGTCGAGGATCCTCGCCGTCGGCGACGGGCGAAACCGCCTACCTCAACTGCATGGAACAGCTTCTGCTGGCCCAATTCGAGGGCCTGGGTAGAAGGGACATTCGACTGGAGCAGGCGGAGTCGTACGCTGCAGAGTGGGAAAAGTGGTGTAAGTCTGCGTTGCTGATGATGATGCTTCAAGGGGCACAAGCCTCTTCCTCGTTGGACGTCAACGTCTTGTTAGCAGCGGGATTGGCGACCTCTGAAGGACTCGACTGCAATGAAAGTAGTGCGATTGCAGAAGTGCCCTTTGCGGATGTGGTTGCCGACATCGTGGCTATGCCTCCTTCTTTTTTCGTCAGTGAGGCCCTGAGGAGCCTCCCATGCAAAGAGAACAACGAGCGTCAGACGTTGTCGTTGGAAGAAACATCCGAGTTTAATGCCCTTATTCTGGGCGTTGATGTGGTTGGACACCATTCGGCGGCTTCTAAAAGGCGCGACGAGGTGGTGGGGGCACCGGAGGAAGACGCTGATGCCTGGCTGCGACAGGCCAACGACATTGCACGTCTTCTGCTTCGGTGGGAGGCTGAGGAAGTAGCAGAAGCCAAACCCGGCGAACCGGGAGTTGCGCCGGCGGCTCGCAAGCTGCTGTGCGCAAAAAGTGACATCCCCGTGCAAACGCTTGCTCGTGTTGCGCCAACGGCCTCACTCGAGGTGGCGCCGAGGCGGGAAAGCGTCGGCGGGGTACGCGAGAGGTGGCCTTCTCCCAGCGACGAGAGCGCCGAAGTAAATGAAGAAGCGTTGGGGGAAGACAAGTCGTCCCCGAAGAGGGAGTCGATGATGGGGGCACCGTGCCGCCAGCCACAGAACGAAGAGCATTGCGGCGTTTCACGCGCTCTTGCGATGAGGCCGGCGTTGAGGAAGCCGGCGGGCGCGCAACCATGCATCGCCGGCTGGGTCTACCGCAGTTGCGTTCCCCACGCGATGTGGCAGCTCCGCTTCCACAGGTTAGAAGACGGTGTTTTGCGTTTCTCTAAGCCGTCGCCAAGCGGAAAACACGTTCGCTGGTGGACTGTGTTGACCATTCGCGAACTTTTATATGTCGGGCTAGATGACACCAACGCTGCCATTGGGGAGGCAAATCCACCGGACTGCCATCAGGGAAGAAGTTGCATTTCGATATATTTTAAAAAACCAACTGAAGAAGCCCCGCGACGGCTGCGGTTGTGCGGCGCAAAGCAGCGCGATACACTTGCGTGGTTCTTTGCCCTCCGCCATGCGACGCAACGGAGGGGGAGTGTGCGTGTGGGGAGGGTCGCCTCGTTCAGTGATGCGCTAACGTGAGAGGAGTGGTGCTTTTATAGTTTTACCATCGTGAGGCTTTTTTTTTTCCAGCGCATTGACTGGGGATACTTTTGCTGTGAATCCCGGTCTTCTCTGTTTTTTTTTTCTTGTATATTTTTTGTTCGTTTATTTGTTTATTATTGTTTTTTTCCGGCAGATGCCGGCGGGGTTTGGCGTATCGTGAAGGTTGCGGTTTGCCGTACATGCCTCCCTCCCCCGTTCTGTTGGCCTTCCACCCATGATGTGCCGCCTCTGTGTTCTTTTTTTTTTGAATGCCGTCTGGTGTTCCGTGGGTGCGTCGTACTCCCAGGAAGAAGGAATAAGTAGAGAGCAGTGACAGCAGGCAACGAAAAAAAAACAACACACGCAAAAAAAAACAACAACGAAAAATAATCATCAATAACAAAAGGTATTCAAAGCTTTCTTCTAATGATCGGCATTCTTGTCTTGTTGGCGGTGGTCACGCTGGTGACGCTCAACCACTTGCTCTCCCGAATGCGGTTAAAGCCCGCCCGCATCAATTACGATTACGATGCCATCGTTGTGGGCGGAAGCATCGCTGGGCCTGTGGTGGCAAAGGCACTTTCGGCCCAAAATCGGAAGGTGCTGCTGCTTGAGCGCGCGCTCTTCACCAAGCCGGATCGCATCATCGGTGAGCTCTTGCAGCCCGGCGGGATCAACGCGCTGAAGCAAGTGAACATGGAGGGGTGCGCCACCTCTGTGGGTATGCCCTGCGACGGGTACTTGGTGGTGGACGGAAAAGGTAATCAGGTGGAGCTGCCGTACAGGGCGGGCTTTCAAGGCTACTCGTTTCACTTCGGGGAATTTGTCAATAACTTAAGGAATGATGTCTGGTCAAACTGCGCCTCGAACGTGACGATGCTGGAGGCGACGGTGAACGAGGTGTTGATGGAGAACACGGGCTTCCTTGAGCGCGCCTATGGTGTAGTGTATTCCATTGCGGCGGACTACAAGGTGCCCGAGGCGCCATTCAAGAAGGACGCCCCGAAGGACGCTCAGTCGACAGCAAAAACGGCAGAGCGACGCGTTGCGACAGCACCACTCATTATCATGTGCGACGGCGGCTCCTCAAAGTTCAAGGCAAAGTACCAACACTACACCCCTGCACGGCAGTACCACTCACATTTTATTGGGCTCATTGTGCGTAATACCCAATTGCCAGTAGAGAAACATGGCACCGTATTTTTCGGAAAAACAGGGCCCATCCTGTCTTATCGACTTGATCCGAACGAGCTCCGCATGCTGGTTGATTACAATAAACCAACCCTGCCAGGTTTGGAGCAGCAAAGTAAATGGCTCATTGAAGAGGTGGCACCGTGCCTTCCAGTAGAGATGCGCTCTGCGTTTATTTCTTCTGCAAAGGATACAAGTGGCATTCGTTCTATGCCTGTAGCGCGTTATCCCGCAACGTTTCCCTCGGCCAGAGGCTACGTGGGCTTGGGAGATCATGCTAATCAGCGTCATCCACTGACTGGGGGCGGTATGACATGTGCATTTAACGATGCGCTTCATTTGGCAAAAAATCTTGCTGACATTCCATGTCTGCGGAGCAATGATCTCACGGAAATGGCGGAGATTGAAGATCGAATTCAGGCAGCTATCTTGGATTACACACAACGGCGCTTCTGGCACTGCGGCTGCATCAATATCCTCTCTTGGGCCCTGTACGCCGTATTCAGCATCCCCGCCCTGCGTGATGCATGTTTTGATTACTTTATGCTTGGGGGTGACTGCGTGGAGGGCCCAATGTCACTGCTCTCCGGACTGGAGCCGAGGCCGTTTCAACTGATGTTTCACTACTACCGTGTGATGATCTATGGTGTATTTAACATGCTTACAGGCAGTGGTGTGTACAGCTGTCGCGGAGGGAAGATGCCCAGCTTTCCACAAAAATGCTTTAATGTGGTCACATTTTTGGTTAACCCATTCCGCCTTGCCGAGGCCCTGCGTATCCTTGTCGTTGCTACTCTGGTGGTGGTTCCCCTGGCATATTACGAGTTTATCTCGCTCTGGAGGCTGATGGATCCCACCAGTCTTCTCCCCAACGTGGCACGGAAGATAAAGATTTTGCTGTACCGAGCCTGGTTCGACGGAAAGAACCGAAAACCGGTGGGTATCTAGATAGGAGGGGTAGGGGATTTTCCGCCCCTGCCCCCTCGGTAGAGAGGAGAGAGAAAAGGTGGGTGGGGTGGTCTCAAAAGTAAAAAAAAAAGGGGGTGAGGGTGGGAGGGGGAGGTCGCGTGTCAACTGAGCAAAGACGGTATTGGGAGCAAGAATTGAGCAAAGGGAAATGGGAGGTGAAGACAAGAAGGCCAAGCGAAACAAATGACGGTACTTTTTCTTTGGGGTATGCATGACGGCTCTGGCAGGGAAGTGGGGGGGGGGGAGGGGAAACCGCAGTTTTTTTATTTTCGTTTTTTTCAGGTTGATGACGTCCTGCGGCATCGTGAGGGACTCATCGTGGCACACAAGACGAGCCAAAGGCCCGAAGCTCACAGGGCGAATGTGCACAAGTGTAAACGGCTGTGCGTGTGCGAACACCGCACTCTGCCTTGTTCTTAGTGTGTTGCTTAAATTCCGAGGCCCGGCCTCTCCCATCCAGGGGAATGCGCGGAGAAGAAACACGAAGGGAGAAGAATACAGCATGAAACACCAAAAGAAAATAAAAAAACAATAGGAAAACCATAGCGTTTTTGTTTTCTCTTTGTTATTTTGCTTCTTCAAAAAGCTGGAGATG